TATAGAATGAGGTGGATAGTCTTGGACTATTGATGAAGGGGCCGAAGGTGATGGAGGGGATTTATTTGGATTCCTCTCCAAGTCAGAACTTAAGGCTAAAAAAAAAAAGTTAAAGCCATTCCTAACGCATGATTCAAGGGATTTTATTGTAGGAAAAATCCCTCTGAGATTCGGCCTTAGAAAGAGGGTTACAGAATTGGTTTACCAAAATTTGAGTCAAGTTTGAAAGTTGAAAGAATTAATCCACATGGGTCAAATTTTCCCCAAAAACAAAGGGCAGTGGTTTCAAAACTGTTAAACCTGGTCAAACCTTGCACTGCCACGTGGAAAGACTCTCGTCCAGCTCAGCAGCTACTCGGGTCCATAGCAGAAGCAGCAACATGTGCATGCAAGCATTTAATGCACTCGAAAAGGGATATGGTACAGTAGACGAATGGAGACCCAATAGCCATAGAATTTGTGTCGTTTAATCTCAGTCCTTTATCTCAATATAGGGTTTTGTTATTTAGCATATAAATAGGTTTGTTTTTAACTTTCACTCTGTACGATGTATTGCCAAGGAATGAGGAACATGAAATGCAATATTCTGTCTCCTTCTGTAGTTTTTCCTTTCTCGTGTTTGGACATTTATTTTCATGGTATCAGAGCAGGTTATTAACCTGTCTCTGGTCACCATCCATAAAAAAGTAGCCCGTTTTCTAGTGCATAATGGTTGAGCACAGTCATATCAGCTCAGGATCAAATCACACCGCTACAAATGGATCATACAGTGGATCTGCTCCTTTGATATTTCCTCAAAGCCAACTCATATCCACCAAACTGGATGACAACAACTTTTTAATCTGGAAACAACAAGCCTTAACAACCATAAGAGGCTATGGTCTGGAAAAATTCATCAATGGTGAAGGAGCTGCACCACCAGAAATTGTGTTGGATCAAGAATCACAGCAACATCAACCAAATCCAGACTACCTCCTATGGCAAAGGCAAGATAATCTCCTTGCATCTTGGCTGTTGTCCTCCTTCAGTGAAGGAGTTCTCATCCAAACAATTGGTCTTGACACTTCAAGGCAGATCTGGAAGCACTTAGAAGCAAACTTTGCCAATCAAACCACAGCTCATGCAATACAAGATGCAACTCCAAAATCTGAAAAAGGGTAGTCTCTCAATGACTCAATATCTCAACCAGATGAAGGTATGCTTTGATTACTTAGCCTCAGTGGGTCATGCAGTGATGGAAAGAGACAAACTTGTTCATATTCTCAGTGGTCTTGGTAGTGAGTATGATCCTGTCATGGTTTCAGTCACCTCAAGGATAGAACCTTATACAGTGGCAGAGATGCAAGCACTCCTCCTAAGATATGAATATAGGCTGGAAGTTCACTCATAGTTTTCCTCCACCACTCATCTTGAAGGGTCACATCATAGTGTTAATACCACTACTCACTTCAACCAGAAGAAGCCACCTCAAAACAATGATGCAAGAGGGGGTTTTAGAGGTTCTAATTACAACAGAGGTGGGAGATGTGGTGGTAGAGGCTATAGGGGGAGAGGTGGTAGGTTTAATGGGAATAGACCGGTTTGCCAAGTTTGTAAGGTTCAAGGACACACAGCAGATAGATGTTGGCATAGGTTTGATCAAAACTTCACACCTCAGCAACACAACAACAATGCATCTCCAGTGAACAGAAATCCCACTTTAAACTTAACTCACTATACAAGCTCAGAGTATGGAAATGACAGCCTTTGGTATCCTGATTCAGGAGCCTCAACACATGTCACCAATGAGCTAGGAAATATGAGCACAGCTTCAGAGTATGGTGGCCAGAATAGACTGCAGGATGGAAATGGAGCTGGAGTTTCAATCAATCATGTTGGTAATGCTCTTCTAAAGAATTCGGATGCCTCAGAGGCTTTTATTCTTAAAGAACTATTGCATGTGCCTTGCATCACTAAGAACCTAATCAGTGTATCTAAATTTGCTCTTAATAATGATGTCTAATTTGACTTCCATCCTACTTCCTGTGTTGTTAAGGATCCAACAACTCAAGCAATTCTTCTCAAAGGGAGAGTTAAGGATGGACTATATCAATTCAATTTCAAGCCTGTTGGAAAATCTCAGGACCTGTCTCAAGGATCCACTTCAAACCTTGGTTATCTTTCAGTTAATTATGCTTCTGTAAATAAAGTCCCTAGCCTAAAACTTTGGCATCAATGGCTAGGGCATGCTAGTATGGATATTGTAAACAGGGAACTTGAACAATATAATTGCTCTTATGCTGTTGATGGTGATTTTAGCTTATGCATTTCCTGTTCAGTTTCTAAAAGTCACAGGCTTCCTTTTGGTGCATCTGAAACTCAGTTTAATTCTCCTTTAGATCTTATTCATATTGACTTATGGGGACCAGCCCCAATAAAGTCATCAAATGGTCATTCTTACTATGTTGTGTTTGTTGATCACTATAGCAGATATAGCTCATTTTATCTTTTAAGAAATAAAACAGAAGTGCATGATGCTTTTGTTCATTTTAAGAACTTGGTGGAGAACCAATTGAACACTAAGATTAAAAGGGTGCAATCAGATGGAGGAACTTAATTTAAAACTCTAGTTAAGATTTTTCAGGAGAGTGGTATTGAACATAGAATATCTTGCCCATATACCCCTCAACAAAATGGGGTGGCAGAAAGAAAACATAGGCACCTCACTTAAATGGGTTTGGCCTTGCTTCATCATTCTAAGCTACCAACAAGATTTTGGGATGATGCTTTTACAACTGCATGCTATATCATAAATAGGATACCTGCAAAAGGGTTATCCTATGCTTCACCTTTTCAGGTTCTTTACAAAAAGAATCCAGATTATGGTATGATAAGGGTGTTTGGTTGCTTATGCTTTCCTCATACAAGGCCTCCGAACAAACACAAATTGGAGTTTAGATCAGCTCCTAGTGTATTCTTAGGATACAGTCTATATTACAAGGGATTTAAGGTGATGCTGCCATATAAGAAGGTCATTGTGACAAGAAATGTGGTGTTTGATGAAGGAGTGTTTCCTTATGAAGAGAAGGTTCGAAATGTGGATCATCATACCATCGATTCACACCCTGTGAGTTTGCCACTACTTGAGAGGTTCTTTAAGGTGAATTCTGAAGGAATCAATGTCCAAAAGGATAACATTGCAGATTATAGAGTTTTTGAAGGCAGCCCATCATGGCCTTTAGAAAGAGAATCTGTTGTTAGAGATCAAGGCTCTTCCACTATTAGCTCAAGCAATACTACTATACTCTTAGTAGTAGAGCTTCCCTTCAGCCACAGTCAACAAGAAACCATTGGAGAGGCAGAATCAGAACCTAACATAAACCAACATCCTTTGGTCACAATGTCCAAACATAGGATCTTTAAACCCAAGATATATCAAACAGAGATTACAAATAAGGAGCCAATGTCATCTCAAGATGCCTTGAAGGATAGTAAATGGAAGAAAGCAATGGATGAGGAATACAAGGTTCTAATCAAGAATGGTACCTGGACACTTACAGCCTTACCAGAAGGCAAGAACTTGTTTGGCAATAAATGGGTTTTCAAGGTTAAAAGAAATTCATATGGGAGTGTGTCAAGATATAAGGCAAGACTTGTGGCCCAAGGATTCTCACAGATACCTGGTTTTGATTTCAATGACACTTTCAGTCCAGTCATAAAGCCAACTACCATAAGAGTGATAATGAGCATTGCTATTTCCTATTCATGGTCAGTGACACACTTGGATGTAGACAATGCCTTTCTGAATGGGACTTTGGAGGAAGAGATACACATGAAACAACCATATGGTTTTGAAGAAGGTGATGAAGGCATGGTCTGCAAGTTGAACAAGGCTTTATATGGTTTAAAGCAAGCATCAAGAAGTTGGTTTGGCAAGATAAGGTCAGTTCTCTTACAGTTGGGGTTCAAAAATTCTAGATCTGACACTTCTCTTTTTATTCTTACCAAAGAAACTAAAATGATATATCTTCTCATCTATGTTGATGACATTTTGATAACTGAAAACTGTAATGCAACTGTTGAGAATATCATTTATCATCTGAAGAAGAATTTCTCACTGAAAAATCTTGGTGAAGTGAAGCCGTTTTTGGGGATTGAGTTTAAGGAAACTTCACAAGGCCTGCATCTTAGTCAGACTAAGTACATTAAAGATAAAGAGTCAACATGACAGGGGCTAAAGGTTGTCCAACTCCCATGATGTCATTACAACACTTATCTAAATTTGATGGTGATTCTGGCATTTATGGAATCTTATATAAGAAACCAGTGGGGGCATTGCAATATGCCACTATCACTAGGCCAGAGATAAGCTTTGCTGTTAACAAGGTTAGCCAATTTATGTCCAATCCTTTGACAACCCATTGGATGACAGTGAAAAGAATATTGAGATACCCTCAGGAACTTTAGATTTTGGGTTACATATAATCAAATCATCTCACTTGGATGTCACAGGATTTTCAGACTCTGATTGGGTAGGGGACCAAGATGATAGAAAATCTATGACAGGTTCCTGTGTGTTCTTAGGCAAAAACTTGGTTTCTTGGGCAGCTAAAAAGCAAAAGTCGATCTCAAGATCTAGCACTGAATCAGAGTATAGAAGTTTGGCACACATTGTGGCAGAGATTACTTGAATACAAGCTCTCTTGACTGAGCTGGGAATTAAAGTGGCCAAAACTCCAACTGTTTAGGTGGATAATTTGAATGCTATTTACTTAGACACAAATCCATACTTCATGCACGAACCAAACATATTGAGCTTGATATTCATTTTGCTAGAGAAAAAGTTGAGGCTAAGAGCATCTTAGTTAATCATATTCCCTCTTATGATCAAGTTGCAGATATTATGACCAAACCACTTAGGCAGCAACTCTTCACTCGGTTAAGGAATAAGTTACTTGTCACTCCTCTCACCTTGCTTGAATTGAGGGGGCGTGTTGAACCTGGTCAAACCTTGCACTGCCATGTGGAAAGACTCTCGTCCAGCTCAGCAGCTACTCAGGTCCATAGCAGAAGCAGCAACATGTGCATGCAAGCATTTAATGCACTGGAAAAGGGATATGGTAAAGTAGACGCGTGGAGACCTAATAACCATAGGATTTGTGTTGTCTAATCTCAATCCTTTATCTCACTGTAGGGTTTTGTTATTTAGCATATAAATAGGTTCGTTTTCAGCTTGCACCCTATACGATGTATTGCCAAGAAATGAGGAACATGAAATGCAATATTCTATCTCCTTCTGCAGTTTTTCCTTTCTCGTGTTTGCACATTTATTTTCAAAACCAAAGGGCCGGTTTCATGTGACTTTGGGCCGACTAAACCTTTTGCTTGGGCCGAATTATTTGAGGTTTATGGGCTAAAGTACTTGGTCCAAAATTTAGAAGAAAAGTCTAGAAAAGGCTCATATACGAAAATAAATTCGAGTGACGACGAACGAACGATTTAACGATTGGCGAGAGTGAACAAAATTTTTCGACTTATTATATTAATTAGACAATGACATCTAAATAATCATAATAAGTTTTAACGAGAAATTGTCGAGCAATAAAAAAAATGAGAGCAAAACAATAATAAAATAATATATGACAATTTATATAAACGAATGGGGCATTCCAATATATTTCTCATCTGCTCTTTGTAGATGACTCTTTGTTTTTCTGCAAAGCCAGCATTGACCAGGCCAATTCTCTTGTGACCATCTTGGAGAAATCCAAGCTATTCACTTGGTAAGCTGTCAATTTGAGCAAATCTTCAGTATTTTTAAATAGAAACACTCCTGAGCATCTGAAATCCAGCATCTGTACAACTTTGGATGGAATCACCCCCCATAGATCCACCAAATACTTGGGTCTCCCATTAGGCATTGGAAGATCAAACTGATACTTTCAAGTATATTCTGGACTCTGTTACAGCCAAAATCCACAATTGGAGGTCCAAATTACTCAGTCAAGCTGGCAAAGCAGTGCTGATCAAAGTTGTCTTACAAACCCTCTCAGTGTTCACCATGTCCTATTTCAAAATTCCTAGAACTCTACGTGCTGACATTTCCAATCTCTGCTCTCAATTCTGGTGGAGTAAAGGTGATGACTAATCTAAAGGGATCCATTGAAAATCATGGAACTTCCTCACTCTCCCAAAAGATAATGGAGGTCTAGGATTCATAGACTTACAACTCTTCAACACTGCTCTAATCTGCAAGCAACTTTGGAGGATCACCACTCAACCAAACTTACTAGTTAGTAGGATTCTGAAAGATAGATACTACCCTAACTGTTCCATCTTTGAAGCTGTCAAAACTTAGAACTGCTCATGGTTGTGGTTCAATTGACTAGATGTTCTTCCCACATTTGCTAAGGGTTTTGCAGTTACAATCAGAAATGGTGAAACCACTAGGCTGGTCGATGTTAATTGGGTACCTGCTCTTAAGCATCCTAAACCTACTCTCATTGAAATTGCAAGAAGGCACTTGATTTGGGTTAAGGAGCTGTTTAATGAATCAGGTCAGGGTTGGAACAATGGTTGAAAACATATATAACAATGGTTGGCATTATTTAGAAAGTGCATTGGGTAAGGGTGTATAAAATATGATTAACTGACCAAAACTGAAAGTTTTGTTTGGAGCGAAATCGAAAAAGAATATCTAATTCAATTTTCGATTTATATTTCATTAATTTAAGTATTTTGGTTTAGTTTGGATAAAAGTGTTCGGTTATCGAACCAAAACAAAAATTGATACTTTCATATAATGTAATGCCCCGTTCGATTATTGAATATTTGGGAATTATGTATCATTATTTATTGTTATTATTATTATTATTTATCCTTATTTGTTGTTATTATTATTTATTGAATGTCTAATATGATTTGTCTGTAAAATTGCGATTAAATGTCTAATTGTCTAAATATTATTTAATTGTCAATTTGTAATTAAATGCCTAAATATCTAAGTGTTATTAGTATTATTATTACTAACTTATTTAAATTATATATATATATATATATATATCTAAATGTTATTATTTGCTTAACTGTAAATGATTTCATTAATCTGTATTTGTATTATTATTAATATTATTATCTTATATTTAATTGTGTGTATTATTATATAAATAAAATCCGGTTTATTTATTTTATCGTGCGATATAATTCTCAAGCCGAACCGAATTAATTTTACGTCTAGTCGGGCTCGAGAGCCGAACCGTTTCCTTGAGCCTCGTCCGAACCAGCCTCGCAAGCCCGACAAACTGAACCGGCCTGCCCAAGTGTGTGTTGTGTGTGTCTTGGACTTCCAGCCTTTAACCCTAAGTCACAATTCATTCCCGTAGCTTTGGATATATCTCCCCTTCCTTCGATCGCGTTTGAACCCGAAGCAGAGAAATCCTTCCTTCTCAATCTGATCGACCTTAATCCATCATCATCATCACCACCGCTTCTCGTCAACCTCGCCGTCGCCGATCGTCAATCCCTCTCCCCTCTGCAATTCCGACGCCGCGACCAACAACATCCGGCAATCCTCGAGCCCCGCTGCTACTCCGATGATTCACGCGAGCCTTCTCAGTCCGCGACCGGCAGCAACTCCGACGGCTCTCTTTTTGCCTGCTCCTCCTCCGGCGAGCGCCTGCAACTCCGGCGATCCGTTCGCGTGGAAGCCACTGCGAGCCTTCCTCTTTGACGGAACCTGCTGCAACTTCCGGTGAGCTGATCATCGCGCAGCGCCTCCACAAGTCACCGACCACTCGCCTGCTGCTCCTTAACGGGAAGGCTGGCGGTCATCACCCTGTCACCACGAGCATCTCGCTGCTGCTCCTCCTCACGCACAGCGGCGAGCCGACCAAGCTGCCGAGTCGTCCGTGCGCCTCAGCCCCGTTCAATCCCTCCGTTCTGTTTTTCGAACGTTACCCAAGAACGGTACAAGGCTCGAAACCCCGTCTCGTTGACTTTTATGTGTCGTCTATGATATGCATTTTATTTGGTGTGTTGAATGTATTTTATTGATATCTATATGTGCCTATGATGATTTTATGTGATTATTATGTAAATGTGTGTAGACGAACTCTTCAATTCTGTGAAATCGAACGAGACCTCGTCAACTCGTGAATTGGTCGCTATGGATTGGAACTTGTATCAATCTTAGTCTTATGGCGAAGACTTCGGGCGAATTCGTTGTAAAACGAGTCGTAGGTAATTTGTTGAACTCGAATAATTGATGTTTTGGTGTTTGAATTATTAAAAATTATGTACTGCTCCGTTTGCCTTGAAATTTCGAGGTTCATGTCTTCTGTTGAACATCTGACTTGTGTTAAAATATCGTAATTTTTAAAGGTCTGTAGCTAGTTTAATAAATTAGAATGATTTCTAGTCAGTTTCATATTAATTGCATAATAAATTGTATAGTGATCTTTTTTTTTTTTCAAACGATAGAAGATCTCATTCAAATCAAAAATTGTATAGTGATCTAAATTGGCAAAATTTTTACTTTGTTTTGCCTCTGTTATGATTGTATGGTGTGTAAAATTTTTAGAATTTTTGGACTAAGTTTGATAGGGTAAATAATTTATTTTCTAATTCTGCAGAAAGTTGTTTTATTTATCATAAATCGGTTAGTAGTTGAAAAATTCTAAAACTTGGCTGGAGTACTTTTTTTATGTGTGTTTTCATGCTGTTAAAAGATGAGAAGTTTTGGAGTTCAATTTGGTTTGGTTTTAATTGGAATTCGATAACTGCTGAAACTTGTAGGAATTTTTAAAATTCGTACAGTTAATGTCCAGGGCTGAATTTTTGATATGTTCTCATTCTCTTGCTGTAGTCTGTGGTATAAAACTTTCATAGGTTAATTCATACATTTGATCTGGTTGCTAATATGTGCTTGTTTTTGCCATAAACTTGCTTGAAATTTTATAAAATAGCACACTTTGAATTTGGGGATGAAAATTGGTGTTTTTGCTTAGGGAGGTGGGATTTTGGTTAAAATTTCAGAGTTAAATTCGTATGATAACCTGCAACACCCCGCTACTTAGGGTCAATTTATCGCAAATTTTAACTCTTTCGAAAACGCTTATAAATTTTTCGAAATCATTTGCAAACTATCTCGGAATGTTGCTAAGTACTCTTCTGCTTAAAAACCCGTTTCTTTAAACTAGGTCTAACGGCTGGTTTAGACTTAAAGAAATCAGATTTATATTTTATCGAATCATGCATATTAATCTGGATCCGTTCGTACTGGCGAACCAGGTAAAATTATTTAAGTCTGAAAATAACGTCATGCATGTTCGAAAATAAACGCGAACATAGCGGAAGTCTGATAATGCGTGGAAATATTAGTTATACAATACGATAACAAATGTCCCGGGAACAGCTTTCGTGCGGGATCCACGACCACAACAACCACAGCTCGACTCACGCCTGTCCGCCGACCCAGCCATCTGAAAATATAAAGTGGGGGTGAGTACGGTCCACTTGTACTCCATAAAAACCCATTCTAAAGTAAACAGCAACAATAATAATGATATCACAGAACCGGTATATATAAGTAAACTGAAACTCCCGGAACACTATGGCCGGTAACTGTAATCTCCCGGACACTCTGGCCGGTACCGTGTGCACACTCTGATGGTATAATTATGGCGAACTAGGCCACCACCAGAACTTAGGGAAGGCAAACTTGGCCTTAACCCCAAGCGGATAAAATTCATATACATACATGAATGTGATATCGACTATTATACTCAATGTATAACCCAGACTGGGTCTCCACCTGATCTGCTTTGAAAATATGTAAGTGCGGCTGTACTGGTAGCTGACTCCTCAAGCTACATAAAAATATAAGCAAATATACTAAGTACTATGCTCGTCATATGCTCAATTATATGCTAAGATGCTCTACTCTATCAGGTTACTCATCTGGATATGAAGGGACGCTCGAAGCGTTCACTAAAATAATTCTAAGTCAGGAAATTAGACTGATATGCTTAACTGGTCTGGTTTGGCTCGAAAAAATACTTAGATTTCGGAATAAGACTAGGACCAAAAATCACGAACCAAAACTGACTCGAACTGCCGGCTA